AGTAGGAAGAATTTACGCACCTGCGATGGTGCTTTGGTTTGTTCCACCTATTAATAGATGGCCGGCCGTGTAGCTTCGCAGAGAGGCAGAAAAAAAGTCCCTCCTTATCTCGCTCAACTCGAAAGTTGAGTCAGCCAGGTTGAGAACGAGGGCTCTGGGACTTCCCCTGCCTCAGAGGGTGATTCTGTCGCAGGAAAACCACAGCCAGGTGGTACCAGATTTCAGCGAGGGATCCCCTATGTCTTTCTGCCAGGGAGTTGCACCTGGACGAAAACCCAGGGAGAGTATGAGATTTTAGAGGTGCAAACCTGCCTTGGGTGTTGTTTGTCAGACTGTTCTCTTCCTTCCTTCCTTCCTTCCTTCCTTCCTTCCTTCCTTCCTTCCTTCCTTCCTTCCTTCCTTCCTTCCTTCCTTCCTTTTTCAATACATAAAGTATGCACCCACACCCCTTGATTATATGAAAAACAACCTCAAAGGAAGGGGGCACAGCCAAAATACAGTGAAAATAACCTTGCGAATTTACAAATTATGATATGTGTTAATGCAAACTGAAGTTAATTTTTGTAGCTGTGGTATAAGGGATTTTATCAAGAATGGATTGTATTTGGTTTCAGCAACGGTCTGGAGGCAGAATTAAAGGGAATCGGACCTTGAAGTACAGCACATGGGAAGCCACACAAAGTTTATACAGTGGTACCTTGGGATGCAGGTGGCGCTGTGGGTTAAACCACAGAGCCTAGGACTTGCCGATCAGAAGGTCGGCGGTTCGAATCCCCGTGATGGGGTGAGCGCCCGTTGCTCAGCCCCTGTTCCTGCCAACCTAGCAGTTCTAAAGCACATCAAAGTGCAAGTAGATAAATAGGTACTGCTCTGGCGGGAAGGTAAACGGCGTTTCTGGTTCGCCAGAAGCGGCTTAGTCATGCTGGCCACATGACCCGGAAGCTGTACGCCGGCTCCCTTGGCCAATAAAGCGAGATGAGCGTCGCAACCCCAGAGTTGGCCACAACTGGACCTAATGGTCAGGGGTCCCTTTACCTTTACCTTGGTTTACAACCATAATCCGTTCTGGAGGTCCATTTGTACACCAAACAGGTTGTAACCCAAGACGTGCTTTTGCCAATGGGGCCTCCCCCCCAAAAAAATTGTTCGTAATCCCCCCCCAAAAAAAGGGTTTCTAATCCAAAGGCACCACTGTAATTTGCTATGTAACTGATTTGCATTTGAACTGGTACAGCTATTTGGTGTTGAGATAATATGGCGCATATTGGATTGTTGTGATTGAAAATTAATAAAAATATTTAACAAAAAAGAAAAGAATCTTATGTACCAAAATAATCTTATGTACCAGCTCATTGGGTGGAGGCACTCTCTGGCCCCCGCAAAGCTTTTAAGCTGGGGACTGAGGTCCTTCCATATCTGGCGGTGACATCAAGTGACATCGGGTGCAAGCCAGTTTATGGATCATAATAATACAAGAAGAGGTTGCAGGATCAGGCCAACGGTTTATTCAAGTCCAGCATCCTGTTCTCACAGGGGGAAAACAAACCTCAAAGCGGTTTACAAAAATAACAGAACAATTATCAATGCAAGCAGCTATTAAGAACATTAAAAAAAATATTAAACCAACCATACGCTAGAAACAGATGAAAACACAGGTCTAAACAAAAATGCTAAGGTGTTTGCTTTTTTTAAAAATTCAATTTTTATTGGTTTTCTATTACAAAATCAGTCATAAAACATTTGCATAACTTTTAAGCTTTAGACAAAATACATATTTTTTTAATATAAAAAACTGGGTCTTCGGAGGGTATGATACAAGTAATATGTTTCAGCAATACATAATGATGCAATCTTACATTGAACTAGGTAGATAGGTTTTGATTTGCACTTTCACCAATAACTTAAAACAGGTTTGTGCGCTTTTGTGTCGTGTCCAAAGCACTTACTTTTCCAAAATAAGGCAAAAATACAGAAAAAGAGGAGAGAAAAGCGAACAATAAAACGGGTTTCCTGCCTACCAATCTGCATTGTAAATTGTATAAACGCCTCTCTTCCATGTGCTGAGTGATTTTTAAAGCTCAGTTCCTAACCCTGTTTATCAATGCCATACATTAAAAGCACATCTGAGGAACATTTAAAGCACATGACTTCTTAAAAAATTATATTAAAGCCCCTCATGGTGCTATAGTTCCTAGCACCCTTCGGAAACTACAGTTTGGGGGATTATTGCGGGGGAAGCAACTATGGCTGTTGAGAGTGGTATAAGAGTTCTTCAAATGCATGCCCTCCAACATTTCTCCGATGAAAACAGGGACGCCCCGTTCCATAATGATAATTTTACTGTTTACTGGGTCGCCCCAGCCACTCTGCGCAGCTTCCAACATACAGTGGTACCTCGATTTTCGAACGTCTCTGTTGACGAACGTTTCAGAACCCGAACACCAAAAACCTGGAAGTAAATGCTTCCGTTTTCGAACGCGCCTCAGAAGTCGCACGTCTTCCGCCGAGTTCAATTTTATGTATTGAATTTGCAGACCGCCCTTTGCCCCTCGGTTTCCAAACATTTCGGAAGTTGAACCGTCTTCTGGAACGGATTACATTCGAAAACCGAGGCACCAGTGTACAGTCATACCTCTTGTTAAGTTTGCTTCAGGTTAAATCTTTTCAGGTTGCGTCCCACGGTGACCCGGAACTAATGGAACAGGCTACTTCTGGGTTTCGCCACTCATGCATGCGCAGACACTCAAAATGATGTCACGCACATGCGCAGAAGCAGCGAATCACGACCCGCGCATGCACAGACGCGGGTTGCGTTTTGCTCAGGTTGCGAACGGGGCTCCCGAACGGATCCCATTTGCAACCAGTGGTACCACTGTCTATAAAGGTAAAGGGACCCTGACCATTAGGTCTAGTCGTGACTGACTCTGGGGTTGCGACACTCATCTCGCTTTATTGGCCAAGGGAGCCGGCGTACAGCTTCCGGGTCATGTGGCCAGCATGACGAAGCCGCTTCTGGCGAACCAGAGCAGCACACGGAAACGCCGTTTACTTTCCCGCCAGAGCGGTAACTATTTATCTACTTGCACTTTGACGTGCTTTCAAACTGCTAGGTGGGCAGGAGCTGGGACCGAGCAACGGGAGCTCACCCCATTGCGGGGATTTGAACCGCCGACCTTCTGATCGGCAAGTCCTAGGCTCTGTGATTTAACCCACAGCACCTTACCACTGTCTATAAAAACATAATAAAACATTAAACATTTTTAAAAACTTCCCTATACAGGATTGCCTTTAGATGGCTCGGGGGTCAGATAACGCCCTATCCTCCAACATTTCTCCAAAGGAAATAGGGACGTCCTAAGGAAAAGCGGGAAGGTAAATGGTGTTTCCGTGTGCGGCTCTGGCTCGCCAGAGCAGCGATGTCACGCTGGCCATGTGACCCGGAAGTGTCTCCGGACAGCGTGAGATGGGCGCACAACCCTAGAGTCTGTCAAGACTGGCCCGTACGGGCAGGGGTACCTTTACCTTTAAGGAAAAGCAGGACATTCTGGATCAAGTCAGAAACTGGGATGGCTTCTCCAATTCAGGGACATCCCTGGAAAATAGGGACATTTGGAGGGTCTGCAAATTCATGGGGCAGGTGTAACATGAGACAAGGCAGTTGGCCCCAAGAGCAGAAAAGGGGGCATTCAAACAACCCATGGGATTTCACTTCCTCTGTCCCTTAGCGGGGCGCGAACTTCCTCTGGAGCTGTTTATCGGTGGGGAGGGACCGAAAAGGAGAACTGGAAGATGGAGGGAAGCAGCTGCCTGAACCGGGGCTTTCACCACCAGCCCTCCTTCTCCTGCGCTGCGAACCTGCCGCAGGCCCCCCCCCCTCTTCCCTCAAGATTGCTCAACTTTTTTCTTCCTCTCTTTCTTTCTCACGGGCCAGCACAGCCAGGCTACCCCAGGAAGAGAGAGACAAAAGGAAAGCTGGGCCCCAAACAACGCACACATTTGAAAAGGCCATATTTTACCAGGGGATGCAATTATTAGTCCACTAGCAGTTTGAAAGCATGTCAAAGTGCAAGTAGATAAATAGGTACCACTCCGGCGGGAAGGTAAATGGCGTTTCCGTGTGCTGCTCTGGTTCGCCAGAAGCGGCTTAGTCATGCTGGCCACATGACCCGGAAGCTGTATGCCGGCTCCCTCGGCCAATAAAGCGAGATGAGCGCCGCAACCCCAGAGTTGTTCGCGACTGGACCTAATGGTCAGGGGTCCCTTTACCTTTACCTTTACCTATACAGTGGTGCCCCGCAAGACGAATGCCTCGCAAGACGGAAAACCCGCAAGACGAAAGGGTTTTCCGTTTGCGAGTTGCTTCGCAAGATGAATTTCCCTATGGGCTTGCTTCGCAAGAAGAAAGCCCATAGGAAAATCTCCGGGGACCTCTTTTAAATGCTGGCGGTGGGGAGCAAAGCCTTTCCCCCCCTCCGGCCTTCAGAAGAGGTCCAGGAAGGCCGGCGGGGGCCGAAAGGCTTTGCTCCCCACCGCCAGCATTTTAAAAGCAGTCCGGGATAGCAGGGAAGCGCTTCCCGCTATCGCGGACGGCTTTTGAAGGCAGGCGGGGGGGGGGGGAGCAAAGACTTTCGCCCCCCGCCCGCCTTCAGAAGAGGTCCAGGACCTCTTCTGAAGGCGGGCGGGGGGCAAAAGTCTTTATCCCCCCCTGCCTGCCTTCCCAGGGGCTTTTAAATCGCCCCGGACAGCGGAGAAGTCCTCCGCTGTCCCGGGGTTTTTTAAAATGCTGGGGGTGGGAAGAAAAGCCCTTGTCCCCCCCCCCAGTCTTCAGAAGAGGTCGGGGGACAGACTGTCCCCGGACCTGGTCTGAAGGCGGTTTCCATAGGAACGCATTAATTGATTTTCAATGCATTCCTATGGGAAACCGTGCTTCGCAAGACGAAAAACTCGCAAGAAGAAAAAACTTGCGGAACGAATTAATTTCGTCTTGCGAGGTACCACTGTATAATTTTGGAACGTGGCTTCTTTATGAGACACCACCCAAGATATCATAACCGTATTTGGCACAACGGTTCCCGAAATCAAGGTGCAACCCCCCCCATGTTTGGATAGAATTCTGGACACCAGTTTGATGGCCAACTGAGCCATTGAAATGGATCCTGATTTTAGCCACCAATTTCAAAATGGCCCTGATTTTCACCGCCGGTTTCAAAACTGCAGAGTGTTTTTGGTTTCTTAGACTACCCGGAAACGCTCCTAGACTGCAAGCGTTATCGTCACCAAACACCCCTTTCCCTTCTGCACTGCGGCCTCGCTCTCTTCCTGCGGTGGCAGGATGAATTGGCAGAGTCCTGATTTAGAAGGGTGACCGTACCACTTCTGTGCAGGGAGCGGGGCATCAAGAAATCAACGCGCAACGGCAAGGGTGCAGCTCAAATATTCCCGGAGTGTCTCAAAAAGTCACTCGTTCTGAAAATCAATAAGCTAAGCCTTAAAAAAACGTCTTTCCTTTCATTTTCCCCTGGGAGGCTGTTATGCTAGCCTGTTAATTTTATTGATGGAATCCATTTAACACATTTATAAATGTCTTTGCGGCCTGAGGGGCTACCAAAGCAGCAGGCGGGAATAAAATTAACCTTCAAAATGGAGACTTTTGCAGCCCTTTAAAAGTAGAAACAGTTTTATGGTGGCCCGAGCTTTTTCGGATTAAAACTTAACATCAGCAGATGCCTAAATTGGCAGATGATGCAGATGGCAGGGCCATGCAAAAGCAATGTTGCAAGGTGGAGTGGGCTCATGTTCAGTGCGTGCCGGCCATGCCCTTTTACAAATACTCCATTACGTTCCTTCGCCTTGTTCCCCCCCCTCCACCTGACCCTCTCAACAGTTAGCATGCCATGCCTATTGAATATACCAAGCCCTTTGTGGAGCCCAGAAAGGGCGGTTATCAGTCAGTGTAGCGTGAGAACACCCTTGTTGTATTTGGGGATTTCACACCCTTGGGGTCAGTCCCCCCCATATAATTTTCAGATTTCTACAAACCCTGGGGCTCCTGCAAGCTTGCTAATGCTTTGCACTTCTGAGTGCCTATTTACAGACCCACACTTAAGAGAAGGAGCTTGCTATTTTCATATATTGGATACAGCTCCTCATGCACCAGCAGTAGAGAGAATTTGTAAACAAGTGTGGGGTCCAAAGGCCCTGAAGCTCAAGTGGCACAATACTGCCATGTGTCTACACAAATGTACACAAGCTACGCACAGCAGTGGTTAAGACAGGAACAAATTGGCAGCCGTGCCATCGTCCTAGCTTTCCCCTGCTGATTCAACGCATGTAGTGCATTTATGTGGAAAGAAAACCTTGATTCAGACAGAGTCCAAATTGAGTAGCATCGAACTTGCTGAGGGCAGCAGTTTCCTAGGGCTGGCACTCACTGGCCTTTGAAGTTTTTTTGCTAGGCACAGGGTTATGAGAAATCTGTTTACCTTGGTGGCATTGGACCAGACGCTTTGCTGAGCTGGTACCCGAACATCACGCCGGTTGCTTAAAAAGCAGCGATTTCCGGGCTGTTCGCCCAGGGAAGGTTCAGGTTCGGAAAACAAGCAAGGCACTGTTTGCAGGGAGCAGGCAGAAAAAGAAAGGGAGGGGTCGCTCCTTATTGCAAAACATAATTTCAGGGTGGGGTGGGAGAGTTAAGCAGCCACAATGCCATCTGCCCAGGGCACACCAAAAAGAGAAGCGAAAGAAGAAGTTATGCCAGGCATACTCAAAACAACCTCTTAAGCTCCATTAGGCCCTCTCCTGAATTGGCAGCTTTAATTTAAGCAAAAAACCCAAAGTTGCTAGTCCCTTTCGTTTGCGGAAATATATAAGGAAAATGTGTCCAGGCAGCATACACTCACGGAGGAGAAGTGCAATAAATTTAAACTTGTGGGACACCTGGATATCTTTTCTTTTTCCCCTGGGCGGGAAGGGGGTAAGGTTGCTATTTTGCAAACTATTCCCTCTCTCCTCAGGCCGAAAAATCTGCCTGGGGGGCAGGAATGTTGGGGAAATGAACATGAACGAATCTTAACGGCTCTTTGGCAGAGCCTTCCTTGGCCGGAATCACCAATCTAGGGGTTTTGCCTCCCCATAACTTCTAGATTCATCACCGTCTCCTACGTGGACGACATCTGAGACACAGGGACACCTTTCACCCAAGCAAGCAGAGAAAGCAGCTAACAGCAAAAAAATAGTCTGACGCTGTGAACTTTAGAAGAAAAAAGTAAATATCAGTTCTGTTGTTCTGCGGCAGGAGAAAAAAAAAAAGACAGAGTAACGCTGGGTTTCGTAACATCCCAGAGCAGCAAAGTTCCCCGTTGGAGGCAACAAATTGGAGACTTGTTTACATTGCAGAAAGAGTCCTCCCTTTCCTCTTTTGATGCACAGAATGGACTGGGGGTAACAAAGCCCCTCGCTTTCGAAAGGCCAAATCTCTGTTGCCCCCAGCCAGATTGGGGCCATGTTTATTCCTGCGCAAGACCAGTGGCACAGCCTTGTGCGTTGCACCCACGACTCAGGGACCGCACACATGCTTTCTGTGATGGAGGAAGTTTGCTGTTGTGCCCAGGTCCTTTTTCGGGCTTCCCATTGGCACAGTTGGCTGGCCTTTGACAGAACAGGATGCTGGACTCGGCCTTGGGGGAGCTCCTGTTGTTCAGTCCGAAGCCTTTCCCATGGTAGGGTGGTGAGAAGGACAATTCTGGGACCTACAGTCTGGCTCAGCTAAAAGGCAGTTTTGCACCCCTCTCGTTCCAATACATCACAGGACTCTGACTGCACCGGCCCAGCCATAAGGTAGGGTTAGGTGGCTGCCTTGGGGGTGAGTTTCCTGGTGGGCAGGAAACAGCACCAAATCCCCAGAGGCCTACCTGTCTTCTGTCCTTCAACCAGGAAAGAGTTGCCAGACAGATCAGTTCCTTGGCGTGAAATCAGGGAAGACATGAAACGGCACCTTGTCCCGTGGCTCAGCTTTGCGTACAAAAGCCCCCTGGCCCAGTCCTTTGCTTCCCTAGGCTAGGAGAGACTCCCTGTCTGAAACCCTGGAGAGCTGCTGCCAGCCAGTGTAGACAATACTGAGCCAGACGGAGCAACAGTCTGGCTCGCCAGAAGGCACCGTTCCTTTGAACCAGGTGGCAAAACGTCCTGGGCCAGCCCTGGAATCTGGCCCGGGTGCCCTTCCTTGGCATGTAGAAAAGGGCCAACGATTGCTCAAAGTGGTACCCAAAACCACTTCCTCCATCACCTACCGCTTCGGGGGTGACAGCTCCTCCGACGGCAGACATTTACCTCCCTGACTTCATGAATCCAGAAGCAAAGATGTATCCTGGAAAGAACTTCCAAAATGTAGGGACAATTTGTTGTCGGTGCCTCCAACCGTTTTCTCTGCCAGCCACAGTGGGCCGGAAGAAACCTTGCGGCCGTGCGCATCCCCATCACAGAACCCGGGCAGGGACTTGGCATATCTGCAACCACCATCTTTGGCTTCAAGGACACTTGAGCTCTTCCTGATGAGCTTGAGCGGCGAACAAAATCCTGAACGTGGAGCATCTTCGGAGCGGCCTGACTCCGGACGGAAGAGCAGACACCTTCCCTACATCTCAGCAGCGTGGGTGTTGACGTCAGCGCTACCTGATGTTGGTACGACCCAAGGGACTCTCAACGATGTCCCAGGCGCCTTGGCTGTGTTCCTGACGCTCCACATCCTTCAGGGTACGTACGGTGCCCACATGCGGGGACGCTGCAGCACCAAATAACCTCCCTAAATCCGCCGTCTGTTGGCTACTACGGCATCAGGAAATAGTCCGCGTTTGAAACATCGTAGGGGCTGTTCTCTGGGATGCTCGGGGTGTCGACAGAGCTTTCGCTGAAGGGCGAGGCGGGAGGGGAGAGGAGAGGAGATGAACTCAGAGGAGGCTCAGGAGCCATGAGGGTCAGGGAGCGTGGTGGGGCGGTGCTGGGTTTCTCTTCTCCGCAAGGTGACGTCCCCCATTTTTTCCCATACCTGGAACAACCCAAAAATAAATAAATGGCAGGCTTTGAGATCACATTTCTACCAGGACATCCATGGGAGGCTTGGATGGCTTTAAATGCATTTATACACCCTTAAGACTTATACATTTAAGACCCTTAAGACTTATACATTTAAATGCATTTATACACCCTCAATGACTTCCCTTCTTCTCTTTCCATGGTTCATTTCTGCATATCATAAATCCCGGCATCTTTTACATAAACTAAACCATTCAGTATTCCATTGATTATGGCATCCATCAAAACTCATTTACACTGTTGAATTTATCTTAATGCTGCCAACATTTTCAAGTCTACACAATTCAACCCCCAATATATTCAATAAACGTTTTCCAATCTTCTTTAAACCTATGTTCTTCTTGTTCTCTTATTCTATATGTTAAGACCGCAAGTTGCGCATATTCCATCAGCTTAAGTTGCCATTCTTCTTTGGTTGGGACCTTGCTCGTTTTCCATTTGGGGGCTAACAAAATATGGGCTGCAGTAGTGGCAGACATAAACAACCGTTTTTGACACCTGGGAATTTCAGTCTGAATTATCCCCAACAGAAAGGACATTGGTGGTTTTTTTGGGGGGGAAGTAATAAATAAAATAATTAATAATAATAATAATAATAATAATAATAATAATAATAATAATTTATTTATACCCCGCCCTCCCCGGCCAAGACCGGGCTCACATAAACTATGAGATTAACTCCACTCAGTGGACCAAAATGTGGTCTAACACCCCCCCTTTAAAATCCATATCAATGAAAAGGAAATACAGTGGTGCCTCGCAAGACGAAATTAATTCGTTCCGCGAGTTTTGTCGTCTTGCGATTTTTTTCGTCTTGCGAAGCACGGTGTCGGAAAAGTTTTGGGAAAGCTTCTAAAATCACCAAAGTCTTCAAAAACCTCAAAAAAGGCTACCACACCGCGTGCTATGAGTTGCTCCTCGAAGTCAAGTCGCAACTGTATTAACGGTGGTAAGAAAAAGGAAACAAACTTGCAAGACGTTTCCGTCTTGCGAAGCAAGCCCATAGGGAAATTTGTCTTGCGGAATGACTCAAAAAACAGAAAACCCTTTCGTCTTGCGAGTTTTCCGTCTTGGGAGGCATTCGTCTTGCGAGGTACCACTGTAACTCACTCTCAAACTCACCTACAGGTGGTACCTAACACCAAGGAAATTAGCGCTAATACGCCCAGGAACCTCACCAAATTGCTGGAGAGGGTGCACCTCCACAGGCACATACCTCCACATGTGGTGGAGTGTCCCAAAATCCAACTATTCTGGACAACAGCCATACGAGAAATATGTAAAATAACTAAGCAGGTATTAGAAATCACCCCAGAACTGGCCCTACTAAACATCTTCCAAGACCAAGGTTTCGTGGATTCACCGCTCTCAGTAATCAACATCCCTCCCCCCAACTCCCGAAAATTAGGTGGTCTTCCTCACCGGAGAATGACTCCAACGACCAAGATGCCAACAATTCCAGTCACGCTTACAGCCATGATGAGGAACAAGTACAGAGGCGTAGAGGCAGCATTTTCCACTAGAAGGGACAAACAATCGGGGAACACAGTTAGGTCAGGCCACCCTCTTCATTTCCCACAATGCCTCCAGCTTTGCACCTCTCTGGGGCAAAGGCCGGGACCCTCAAGTCCAGGGTCCAAATGCGGCTCTCCATCTGGCCCTTGGCCAGGTTGCCCAGCAGGGAATTTGGCCCTCAGTCCAAAAGAGCCTGCCGTGGGGCATTGTGGGAAATCAAAATGGAATCGAATTTGCATTTGTGCCCCACCTTTTTCTCCAAGGAGTTCAAGGTGGTGTACATAACTCTCCCCCTCTTCCTTTAATCCTCACAACAACCCTATGAGTTAAGCTAAGCTGAGAGACAGTGTCTGGCCCAAGGTCACCCACAAATAGGGAGCACGGCTATCGCCTGCCATCACCACTAGGGAAGACTACCTGCCAAAGATCCTTGCTCCCATCACCCCCAGCCTTTCGCCCGGGCGATGTCCCCGTATTTTTTGCAGCCCTTGGCATGTATAAAAAGCCATCTTTCTGCAAGCAAGGCCACGAGAGGAGGCGCACTTACCTGTCGGCTTGCTCATGACAACAGGGAGCTCAGAAGTGCACTTAGGAGGCTTAACGGTGCTGGCAAAAGGATCAACCTGCAAGAGAGAGCAAAAAAGAAAAGGACTGTGAAATATACTCAGAGTCGAGAGTGGATTTCATGCTCTTTATTCAGCTCATAGAGGTGAGGAGGAATGGAAGTTCCCCCAGAACGTCTGCTTTATATACAGTGGTGCCTCGCAAGACGAAATTAATTCGTTCCGCAAGTTTTTTCTTCTTGCGAGTTTTTCGTCTTGCGATGCACGGTTTCCCATAGGAATGCATTGAAAATCAATTAATGCGTTCCTAGGGAAACCACCTTCAGACCAGGTCCGGGGACAGTCTGTTCTCCGACCTCTTCTGAAGGCTGGGGGGGGGGAACAAGGGCTTTTTTCCCACTGCCAGCCTTCAGAAGGCTGTTCTGAAGGCTGGCGGTGGGAAAAAAAGCCCTTCTTCCCACCTCCCGCCCCGCAAGCTCCGGGGACAGGAGGGCTTTGCTGCCGACCGCCAGCATTTTAAAAGCCCCTGCTGTCCCGGGGCGATTTTAAAATGCTGGCGGGCAGGAGCGAAGTCTCTGCTGTCCCGGGGAGATTTTAAAATGCTGGGGGGCGGGAGCGAACGCTTCGCTCCCGCCCGCCAACATTTTAAGATCGCCCGGGGCAGCAGAGACTTCTCGCCCAAAGCAAGGGGAGCTCTCCGGAGGGCTCCCCGTGCTTCGGGTGACAGGCTGCCGCCCCAAGCCTCGCGCACCCGGCGGGACCTCCTGCCGGGTGCGCGAGGCTTGCAGACACTCGCCCGAAGCAGGGGAAGCCCTCCGGAGGGCTCATCGTGCTTCGGGCGACAGGCTGCCGCCCCAAGCCTCGCGCACCCGGTGGGACCTCCTGCCGGGTGCGCGAGGCTTGCAGACATTCGCCCGAAGCAGGGGAAGCCCTCCGGAGGGCTCCCCGTGCTTCGGGCGACAGGCTGCCGCCCCAAGCCTCGCGCACCCGGTGGGACCTCCTGCCGGGTGCGCGAGGCTTGCTGACACTCGCCCGAAGCAGGGGAAGCCCTCCGGAGGGCTCCCCGTGCTTCGGGCGACAGGCTGCCGCCCCAAGCCTCGCGCACCCGGTGGGACCTCCTGCCGGGTGCGCGAGGCTTGCTGACACTCGCCCGAAGCAGGGGAAGCCCTCCGGAGGGCTCCCCGTGCTTCGGGCAACAGGCTGCCGCCCCAAGCCTCGCGCACCCGGAGGGACCTCCTGCCGGGCGCGCGAGGCTTGCAGACACTCGCCCAAAGATTTTAAAATGCTGGGGGTCGGGAGCGAAGCGTTCGCTCCCGCCCGCCAGCATTTTAAGATCGCCCGGGGCAGCGGAGAAGTCTCCGCTGTCCCGGGAAGGCAGGCGGGGGGGAGCAAAGACTTTTGCCCCCCGCCGGCCTTCAGAAGAGGTCCAGGACCTCTTCTGAAGGCCGGCTGTGGGCGAAAGTCTTTGCTCCCGACCGCCAGCAATTTAAAACAGGTCCCCGGAGATTTCCCTATGGGCTTTCGTCTTGCGAAGCAAGCCCATAGGGAAATTCGTCTTGCGAAGCGCCTCCAAAACAGAAAACCCTTTCGTCTTGCGGGTTTTCCGTCTTGCGAGGCATTCGTCTTGCGGGGTACCACTGTACATTATTTACACAATGGGCCCCACGTGATTGGCTAATTCCGGGATTCACCTGTAGGCCAATCAGGTTGCGGATTCACTTCCACCTGGAGCTGGATTGGATGGCTCCTGTGGACCAATCAGACTGCTGCATTCTGGACCCTATTGTTCTAGGACCAACCAGACTGCTGCATTCTGAATCCTATTGTTCTAGGACCAATCAGACTGCTGTTTTCTAAATCCTATTTTTCTAGGACCAATCAGACTGCTGCCTTTTGGATCCTATTGTTCTAGGACCAATCAGACTGCTGCATTCTGGACCCTATTGTTCTAGGACCAATCAGACTGCTGCATTCTGGATCCTATTGTTCTAGGACCTATCAGACTGCTGTTTTCTGAATCCTATTTTTCTAGGACCAATCAGACTGCTGCCTTTTGGATCCTATTGTTCTAGGACCAATCAAACTGCTGCATTCTGAATCCTACTGTTCCAGGACCAATCAGACTGCTGCCTTTTGGATCCTATTCAACTCAGTACATAACAGGCTGAGTGCAGCCAACTCTGAATAGCTGCATCTCTCCATTTAGACAAGGCACCCTCAGTGGTCAAAAAGAGGAAGCAGGGTTTATTAGGGGCCAGCGTCTTGGAAACAGGGGCTGTGCCTGCTGAGAGGAGCAGTTGGAGCCTATGCCTTTTGCTAGCGGAGCTGTTTGAATGCTTGTGGCTGGCTTGGATGGGCTTTAGACCTTTAAAAAAATCATATTATTTTAGCTGGTGTGGAGGCTACAGATTTCCTGAGTCATGTAATAAACAAAAACCTGCCCTTATTCCCTTATGGGGGACACAAGAGCCCTTATAGAGTCCTTTGTAGCTTCTCCATCGGTCGGAGAAAATAACAGAGGCCAACCAGAGAATATTGAGAAGCAAAGCAGCTAGTACGCCTGATCTTTATTGATCTGTTGCAACAGGGTGTTCCCATTGCATGCAGGAAAGGAGGACGAACCAGAACAAAGGTGTGCCTGCCCTTATATAGACATTTTAAATCGCACCCCCAGAAACATCATACATACATCACAGAAGGGGCGGTCTACAACAGAAATCTGAGTGCGTTGTTTATCTCCTGTCTGGCAGACCTGTTAATGGTCACTTGATTGGATACCCTGGGGAGCCTGGCCAGATATTTGTTTATTACGGTCAGAAGGGTGTCTTCATGAAGAGGATTGGGTTCTGGCTGCATTATTATTATTATTATTATTATTATTATTATTATTATTATTATTATTATTATTATTCACCACCTTCCAAAGCTCCGTCTCAAGGAGATTTGCACATAAGAAAATAAGAAAGAGTTTAAAACACGAAAACAACCAAGATATTTAAAACAGCACCAAAAATCTAACAAGCGGACACTTGTGGCCAAGACCTATTAATCCAACTGGGAAAGCCTGTTAAGAGCCAGTGGGGTTTTAAGTGGAAGCAGGGTTAGACTAGGACCTGGGAGAGGCCCGGGTTCAAATCCTGCCCCTTGGCTATGAAGCTCACTGGGAGACCTTGGGTCAGTAGGCCCCCTTGAGCTCCTTTGAGGAAAAGGTGGGGTATAGAATAAATAAAATAAATTGTAGCCCTAGGAGGGGGATAGTGTGGGGGTTTCCTAACAACTCTCTGCACCCCTAATGAACTACAGCTCCCAGAATTCTTTGGGTGGAAGCCATAACTGCTTCAAGTGGCGTGGTACTGCTACAGGGCCTAACTTTGGAAAACTGAGAAACCAAAATGAACAGATTATCCATTCTCCCCCCAACCCCTGACCCCACTGACTGGGGTTGGTGAGAGCTCCTGGTCCACCCACATCTGGAGGGCCACACCTGAACTTCAGTGACAGGTGGGTAGATTTGGGTTGAATTGTAGGGAAAACACATTGATGGTAAGTGATCTATAAGTCCCCTCCCTCCAATGTTAGGATTTTACGAGCCGCCCCCAACAGACAGTGGAAGCGCAGGAACTCTTTGCTTGTTTTTGAAACTACATCAGAGACTGGAGTGGGGTATATATGGACCACTTGCAGGGAGGGCGTCCCAGCGCTCTGGAGCCACAACCCAAAAGGCCCTGCTTCTCGAGGGAATTACTTACCTCTGAGGGGACTAGCGTGGTTTCTGGGTCACGGTCCTTGGTTTCTGAAATGCCAAGGAGAAAAAGAAGGGATTGAATAAAATATATATCTGGGGGCGAGGCACGGAGAGAGAGAGAGAGAGAGAGAGAGAGAGAGAGAGAGAGAGAGATGCTTTGTTGGGCTGCTGGGACAAAAATCTGTCTTGAAGCTAGACCCACAAGTCCATCTCCTCAGAGCCTAGGCATCAGGGAAGATCAGCGACTCAGGCTTGTGCATGTGTTCTGCCCACCCCATATAAATATATATTTTACAAAAGTACCACTTTGCAGGTCCAAAGTACATTTCCCTCAACTCCTCAGGAACTACAGCCAGCTTCCACACAATTGATATTAGGGGTTGGGTAGTTTTCATACAGTGGGACGCGGGTGGCGCTGTGGGTTAAACCACAGAGCCCAGGACTTGCCGATCAGAAGGTTGGCGGTTTGAATCCCCGCGACGGGGTCCCGTTGCTCAGTCCCTGCTCCTGCCAACCTAGCAGTTCGAAAGCACGTCAAAGTGCAAGTAGATAAATAGGTACCACTCTGGCAGGAAGGTAAATGGCATTTCCATGCGTTGCTCTGGTTCGCCAGAAGCTGCTGAGTCATGCTGGCCACATGACCCGGAAGCTGTACGCTGGCTCCCTCGGCCAGTAAAGCGAGATGAGCACCGCAACCCCAGAGTCGGCCATGACTGGATCTAATGGTCAGGGGTCCCTTTACCTTTACCTTAGTTTTCATACCAAAAGGCAAAGCTGGGGAACCTGTGCGCCGCCCCCTCGATATCCTTGGACTCCAACTCCCACCAGAACTGCCTGCCAGAACAGCCAATGCTTCGGGGATGATGGGAGCCGAAGTCCCAGCAATATCTGGAGGGCCGCAGGTTCCCAAGCCCTGTCCTAGACGCATGTCCCAACCAATCAGGGATCACATGTTAAATGCACTTACAGAGGCGTAAAGCAGGGAAGGGGAGCCCGTAACCCTCCAAACAGACTCCAAGTTAGAGGACTGTTAGGAGGCCTAAAGGCTACAGCTGAGCCAGCCCTGACCTAGCTAACCCCTCATTCTGCTCCTTGGCAGGTTGCAAAATGGCGACCCTTGTGGCATGCAACATCACAGAAAGCAGTCAAGTACAACATTTCCTGTTTGGCCAGAGTGGACACACAGGGGGATGTTACTGCAGCCAGGAGGACTTCCTGCCACACCTGTTTGGAGCATCCTCCCCCTGCGTGTGACCAGGTAGATGGGCGTGACCCTGGGAGACCCTGTAAAGGCCTAGACATGCAGCCACCTTCCCTTCTCCTTTTGCCTTTCCGCCTCGTTCCGTCTTTATGTTTTTGCTGTCTGCTAGCTCTTAGCCAGCAGCACATGGGCTCAGTCCCATACGGTTGATGGCATTTTACCATTGTAATGTGGAGAGTGTATTAACTTCTGGTCTGTGTGTGTGGTTTGGGAGCTGCACGGTCAGGGGAAAAACAACGCTGTCCAGGGTTGTAAAGACTGCGGAGAGAATAATTGGGTGCACTCTTCCCACTTTAGATCAAAACTATGCTGTCAGGTGCCATAAGAAAGCTGCAGGATAGTATGCACCCCGGAAATATCTCTTTCAGCTTCTGCCTTCTGGAAGAAGGTACAGGGTTATAAATACCAAGACTAGCCGCCTGAGAAACAGTTTCTACCCAAATGCAATTCTGGTTCTAAAGGCAGTATAAGGAGTCTCTATAGTATAAAGGTAAAGGTACCCCTGCCCGTACGGGCCAGTCTTGCCAGACTCTAGGGTTGTGCGCCCATCTCACTTAAGAGGCCGGGGGCCAGCGCTGTCCGGAGACACTTCCGGGTCACGTGGCCAGCGTGACAAAGCTGCATCTGGCGAGCCAGCGCAGCACACGGAAACGCCGTTTACCTTCCCGCCAGTAAGCGGTCCCTATTTATCTACTTACACTTTGACGTGCTTTTGAACTGCTAGGTTGGCAGGCGCTGGGACCGAGCAACGGGAGCGCACCCCGCCGCGGGGATTCGAACCGCCGACCTTTCAATCGGCAAGCCCTAGGCGCTGAGGCTTTTACCCACAGCGCCACCCGCGTCCCATCTCTATAGTATATTGTATTTTAAAATGGGGTTTCAGAGTTTTTAGGAGTTTTTGAATGTCTTATGTAGATTTTTCAATTTCATTGTTCTGTATGGGACAATGACAATAAAGATATCGTATCATATCGGGATGAATCCACACTCTCTTCTGCAAGTACAAGCTAAAGCCTGCCTTCAGGATCATACCGTGAACTGAATGTAAGTAAACTTCCTGTTTTTATTAACAGAAGACTGTTGCACCTTTATTCTTTTAAGAGAGAACAAAGGGGATTTACCAGGAACAAATCCAATCTGGACAAGCCAGACTGGATTGCTTAGCTAAAGAGATTCAAACGAATCTACCAACTAGCTTCCTGCAATATATAGGGGAATATACTCTGCTACCAGCTCACTAGCGTGAGTGAGGAAGAACAATACTTAATCAATACAGTGGTATCTCTGGTTGCGAATGGGATCTGTTCCGGAGGCCCGTTCGTAACCTGAAAAGAATGCAACCTGCGTCTGTGCACGTGCGGGTGGCGATTTGCCGCTTCTGCACATGCGTGTGACGTCGTTTTGCGCCTCTGCGCATGTGCGAGCGGTGAATCCCAGAAGTAATCCTTTCTGGTACTTCTGGGTCGCTGCAGGCCACAACCTGAAAACGCGCAACCTGAAGCAAACGTAACATGAGGTATGACTGTATATCTTCTCCTACTATCCACAACATTCCCACAAACCTGCCATATAAGGAAGGGCACAGGAGGGGCAACGGAAAGGGCACTGCCAACCTGTCCAGGGCACTCCAAAGCTCTCCCGGCTCCATTCGCTCCAGATCCCTTGGTTGAATTCTTCCCTGGCCCGCACCTGGACGACATGGCGGACACCTGGCATCACGTCAGAGATGGTGTAGGTAGTGTATTCATCCTGAAGGTGAATCTGTAGCCGAGAGAAAGGGAAAGGGGCACAGCTCAGTGGCCTGGCATGCAAAAAGTCCCAGGTTTAATCTGCGGCAGCACCGCCAGGTGAGTCTGGGAGAGACATCTTTCCTAAAACCCTGGAGAGCTGCTGCCAGTCCGTGTAGGCAATGCTGAGCTAGGCGGACCCAGAGTCTGCGAAAGCCAGATCTTCAATATGGTACCATGAGGACTAGAAACTTGATATGTAGGGAAAGGACCAGAGCTCAGTTGTACAGCAGGTGTGCTGCATGCAACAGGCTCTCGAGGGAGAGCTGCGGATGGTTCTTCAAACCCCAGGGGTTTGCCACTGCAAATCAGCATAGCCTAGTGGAGAACCTGTGGCCTTCCAGATGCCACAACTCCCATCATCTCTAACCAGTGGCCTGGTTGGCTGGGGCTGATGGGAGTTGTAGTCTGACAACATCTGAAGGACCACAGGCTCCCCAGCGTCGCTCCATTAAAGTGCATTAAATATGTGGTCCCTGATTGGTTGGGATATGTGTCCAGGACAGGGATGGGGAGCCCGCGACCCTCCAGATGTCGCTGGACTACAAATCCAATCATCTTGATCATTGGCCATGCTGGCTGGGGATGATGGGAACTGTAGTCCCAACAATGCCCAGCGGACCACAGGTTTCCCCGCATCTGGTCTAATGAAAGATGCAGCCAAGAGGCACACAGGAAATAAGGTGGGGACGCCCATTATGTCTGCATCCTGAAATCTGTAACCCGTACTGGTTCAGAGAATGCCTGCCCTCTCCTAATCCCAAAATCAAAAGTAAGGGCAGACCTTGTTGTACGCAGCTGAGGCTTCCACCCGGTAGCGGATCTCGAACTGCAGGCGGAAGAAGGAGGAACCCCAAGAGGGGGGTTTGCGCCAGGTCACAAACAGTTTGCAGGGGTGCAGCTCCACGTTCCTCACCTCCACGTCGACTGGTGGGTCTGGCTTCACTGTGGGGGGGGGGGGGGAGAGATCAGCCAGAAAGGTTTACAAAAACTGATACTACCCTTGCTGGTACCTTTCCCGGGAAAATCAGAGGCTCACCATGTCAGGTTCCTATTGGAAGACAGGACAAATGCTAGAACATTAGCAGTAGCAAAGTTTTGATCGGTGGTTGCAAGAACAAATAATCCCTATATTCTGAACAAAATGCTTGTTTAACCTGGAGGTAGGCTGTATGAATTGTATATTGCTTTGTAATGATTTGTTGGGTCTCTGGACCCTAATAAAGATTGATGATGATAATCAGGTTTTAAAAAAAGGAGAAAGGAAAATCTCTCTCTCTCTCTCTCTCTCTCTCTCTCTCTCTCTCTCTCCTGTTTTCTGCAACATGTCATCAATGCAATAATGGAGCATTTGTGCTGGATTCATGCTGGACCGGAGTATCCAAAGAGAACCAAACTCCCTTTCCCACAGACAACACATTCATAATTAGAAAAACGAGGCTTGGTTCATTCACATCTTGACTACTGCAGTATAGCTTTCTCTCTTTGATTTCTTTTCCTATTCCTTCTATTGTACATAACATAACTGGTGTATGTGCACAGACATGCATGTATTTTTCAAACTAAATGGCCAATGGTATATTTTGATCAACATCATATGGAGATGGGGTGGTAAAAACAAACTGGTCTGTGAAAATGCCCCATTCCTCCATGGCATGCTCTAACTTTTAACTCTATAGTCCAGTAAGTTATTTTGCTCTCATTGTAGAAAAACAAAAACCTTGCATACCTTATTTGATTCGATAATTTCAATGGTTTTCTTTTATCGCTGCACAACCAAGGATGATTTTATAACTTTTTTGTACGTAGCTGTTACATACAGAGCAATCTGTCTTTAAGTACAGTGGTACCTCAGGTTAAGTACTTAATTCGTTCCGGAGGTCCGTACTTAACCTGAAACTGTTCTTAACCTGAAGCACCACTTTAGCTAATGGGGCCTCCTGCTGCCGCCGCACCGCCAGAGCACGATTTCTGTTCTCATCCTGAAGCAAAGTTCTTAACCTGAAGCACTATTTCTGGGTTAGCGGAGTCTGTAACCTGAAGCGTATGTAACCTTAGGTACCACTGTAGGGGTAAATTACTCTAAACAAAAATTTGATCTTGGATAGTTTTCCCTTCAAGTAAAGTGTCTTGTTGTTTAAATAAACTTAAATAAAGTCGTTTAAAATAAAAACAAAACAAAAAAACCATACAAGCCGAAGGGATCTTTCAGCAAGCATTTTTAGCAGTGGTTTCTTCGAATTCTGAGGGCCACAGTCCCTCCTGGCAAGCTTCCAAGGGCCGCATGCCTGTGGTGCACAGGGCCAGAAGCAAAATGGGAGGAGCGATATGTACATTTTACTTCTGTCCTGTAGGCTAGACTCTACACACACTCATGCGCAAGACAGCCGCCTCCTACATGACTTTGTCTCATCCTTTTTAAAACCATCTGGGTTGGTGGCTATCGTTGTCCCCTGCAGCTGGGAGTTCCACAGTGTAACTATGCACTGTGTGAAGAAGGACTCTCTTTTACCTTTCCCGAATCTCCCGACCTTCAGCTTCATTAAAAAGGTAAAGGGACCCCTGACCATTAGGTCCAGTTGCGGCCGACTCTGGGGTTGCGGCGCTCATCTCGCTTTACTAGCCGAGGGAGCCGGCCTACAGCTTCCGGGTCATGTGGCCAGCATGACCAAGCCGCTTCTGGCGAACCACAGCAGCGCACAGAAACGCCGTTTACCTTCCCGCTGGAGTGGTACCTATTTATCTACTTGCACTTTGATGTGCTTTCGAACTGCTAGGTTGGCAGGAGCAGGGACCGAGCAACGGGAGCTCACCCCATTGCGGGGATTCGAACCGCCCACCTTCTGATCAGCAAGCCCTAGGCTCTGTGGTTTAACCCACAGCGCCACCCGCGTCCCTCAGCTTCATTAGATGCTCACAAGTTCAGATGTTATGAGTGAATGAGAAAAACCTCTCTCTGTCGACCATCCTGGGAAGGAAGGTGATAAGAGTTCACGGTCGCTTCCCAGCCGTGTCAAACCATTCACGGCACATGAGGGGAATGACCAGGGGCTCGGGAAGGATTCCGAGGGCCAAATGGAGAGATCTGGGGGGCCGCAGACTGATGCTCCCCTAGTCCTGATTCTACACTTTATAGAATTATGGAATTGGTGGAAAGCACCAATTTTTGCCCCATATGGGGCTCTAAAGCACAGCCCTGAGATTAAGAGTCTCATGTGCCCAGGAATATTTGGGAGACTTTTTAAACATCAAAAATGTGCAGGGAGGAAAGTCGGGCACGGGCAGATTCGCTCCAGCTCCAGCACAACATGCGCCCTGACACATGGTGTACTGGCCCCAATTCAGAGTAAAGGTGCTGCTACTCACACAGATTTTCGGTGCTGATGAAACTGTGGCTGCTCAGGGCTCCCGCCAGGTTGAAGATGCAGACGGACACCTTCAGGATGTGCACGTCGTCAGCGATTCCTTCGATGCGGCAAGAGAACTTCCGGGACTTGGTGTAATAGCGGCAGGGCTGCTCGACGCGGTTCACCCCGACGAAACTAGGGGACACGGGGGGAAAGTGTGATAGGAATTTTGAGGTCTTAGATATATGGCAATGTTCACAACCGCACGTACATAGATCAGCACAGGAAGACCGACCTGAAGCCATTTTGATTCCTAAACTGAGCAAATGTTTTCTCTGCATGGTCAAAGTGGAAAAGCCTCCTCACTGTCTTTTCCTTCGCAAATCCTGTCTTAAGGGTATGTCTGTGTTTGAATAGGGTGTGAGCCTGTGACCTGGCCCAGGAACTAAGTATTTATCACTACAAAAGAATGGCCGGGTTCCCCAGGCAATCCAATCAAGTAACCTGCCAGACAGGAGATAAACAACAACAGGAGAAAACAATATTGAAATTTCTGTTTTAGACCGCCTTTTCTGTGACGTAGGTGTGATGTATCTGAGGGGTGGTCTTAGGTTACACCCCTTCTGTGATGTATGTATGATGTTTCTGGGGGTAGTCTTGATCTACAAGGTGGCAATTTCAAAAGTCTTTATAAGGCCTTGCACAGCATTTTTCTGGGTCCCTCCTCTCTCCTGCGGGTGAGGGGAGCACCCCGTTGCAACAGATGAATAAACATCAAGCTTACTAGCTGCTTTGCTTCTCAATATTCTCTGGTTGGCCTCTGTTATTTTCTCCTACCAATAGGGAACCTACGTAAGGACTCTATATGGGCTCTTGGATACCCCATAAGGGAAAAAGGGGAATTTTTATTTACAACAAAAGCACACGGAATGCTCAGCCAGAGGAAGGGAAGACACTGGATCTCACCACGATTGAGCATAGCTGGCATGGAAATGCCATGCCTTGCCAGCTACAGCGCATGACAGCGGTCAATGAGCAGACCCTGCCTTGAAATTAATGGGTGCAGCTGGCGGAAGGCCAGTTGATTTCAACAGATCTTCTCTGCGGGTAATCAAGGCTGGTATGCACTGTGCATTTAAAGCACATGTGTGTGTGTGTGTGTGTGTGTGTGTGTGTGTTTTCTATTCATCTTGCACTTAACAGCAGACCCACCTAATCTGCACTTCCCAAAACAATGTGCAAATTGAAACACAGCCATGCTTTTGAAACTTGCACTTCTCCAAATTTTGCAACGGGAACAAAAAAACACACGCGTATACTGTACTTCAATAAGGCGTGGGTAAAGAAATGCACACACTGGCGAAATTGTCATGCATTTGTTCCTTTGTGCGCTCAAAAATAAAATAAAATGTGCCTATTAAGGAAAATTACATACTGTGTAATTTCACTATACTGTACATATTAATCGCCTTCTAAGCTACCGTCTCAAGGCGATTCACACATCAGATAAATTAAAAATAGTTAAAAGCACAAAACAACTGATGCATTTTAAACTGATACATTTCAAACAAGACGGAAACCCTAATAAACGGGCCCTTGTGATTCAAGACTCATTGATCTAGCTGGGAAAGCCTAACAGAACAAAAATGTTCTGACTCTCCTTCCCTGAGGATTCACAGCAATCAATAACTTAGTCAGTAGAGCATGAGACTTTTAATTTCAGGGTTGTGGGTTCAAGCCCAGATGATCCTTGTGGTCTCTTCCAAATTGTTATAAGAATGCAAAGGTCTCAAATATAAACTAAATGTTCATAAATGTACAATGCAAACATATACATAAGTATATTAACCATGTGTCTGAAATAGTATAGGAGAGTAATCCGGAAGCCATTTTAACTCTCCCAATGACCTCAGATGCAGTAAGGGAGGCATATGGGGAAAGCCTTCCCATTGTCTTTTTGCTTGCAAATCCTGTGTTAAGGACGCATTTGTATATGAATAGGGTGAGCCTGTGACCTGGATTCAGGAACTAAAGAATTAACCATCACAAAAGAATGGCCAGGCTGCCCAGGTAATGCAGTAAGTGACCATTATCAGGTATCCTCGCAAATAGGATTTCTGCTGTAGACCGCCTCCTTCTGTGATGTATGTATGATTTTTTTGGGGGGTGGTCTTCAGCTACAGGGTGGGCAATTTCATAAGTCTGTATAAGAGCTTGTGCACCATTGTTCAGGGTTCTCCTCCCTCCTGAGTTTGGTGAGTGGGGACCCTGTTGCAACAGTTGAATAAAGATCAGGCTTACTAGCCGCTTTGCTTCTCAGTATACTCTGGTCCGCCTCTGTTATTTTCTCCTACCGATAGGGAACCCACTTAAAGACTCTATACGGGCTCTTGGATACCCCATAAGGAAAAAGGAGCAGTTTTTTCTTTTAACAAATTCTATGATTCTATCTTCTAGGTGATAGATGAGGTAGTCTGTGGCGATCACACAGGGTCCCCGGACGTTTCACCGTCTATTGATCCCTGTGCCACCACTTTATTTCTCGCTGCCACCGCCCAGGCCCTACCTGGGACAATACTGAGTCCAGTCAGGGTTAAAATGGAACATAAACTTCTGTTTATTTATTGCAGTTTAACAAGCGTCTGGTTTCATAAACGGTATCGGTCCATTACAATCGTGGGGTGCCTATCCAGACCTATAACTTCCACTACCTGCTCTCACTCACTAAACCGCCTCTCAGATATTTGCTTGTCTTCCTAGCCCCTAACTGTTCCTGACTCAGCTTATTTCGCTACACTAACTCAACCTACCCACAGACTCTATCCCAATTCACTCCCACTCCAACCAACCACCCAACTCCCAACAAACGCCTCCCTGAGCTGGTTTTATAGTCCCTCTGACTCCACCCCCCTGGGTTCTGATTGGGTAACCTGTTTAACTATTTCACCTCCAGCACTCTCATATGTTAACATCACACAGTCTCTCATATGTTAACATCACACAGTCCATCAGGATTTACTTTATCAGCGCAAACCGATGTGGAAATATAGAAAAGCGAACTCAAGATCGGGATGGGAATGACAGGGTTGCCCATTGCTAACCCAAAACCTTGACATCCCTCATATCATATCCGCTCCCACGGTTTAAATGTTTCCCCAGCCTCCACTCACTTTTTCTGCACCCACATCCTGGCTTTCGTGTGGGTGGACATCCCACGAGACGTCTTCCACTCACAGAAAATGTCCTTGGCTAAGCTCTTTCGGAAGCAGGTGAAGTTTGGCGCCTCTGGCGGTTCTGAAAAGGGGGAAGAGACTGTTACATGGGGGCAGGATACGCAGCCTTCCGCATATGCCCAGGAACTCCAGTGCTGGCTAGTTAGTTCAGTTTAACAAAGTTCACCAGATTCCCTCTGTATATGCAAAGGTCTGGCTTGTTTCGTTCCTCATCTCACTTGCATGCGCCACCTTCTCAAAGCTAAAACCATGCGCAAGGCTGCTTACCCTATGGGATTTATTTTTACAAAATTACAAAAGCATTCCTAGAGAACAAACCAACCATCAAAAAGTGCGCAACCCAACAATTTGCACATGAATTACAGTAAGATCCAAGATAAATACATAGAATAAAGTATATCAATAAAAGGAAGGGGGGGAAAACGGTCAAAAACGGCAGCAGATTCTCCTTCATCAGAGATTTTTTTAAGCAGAGGTTGGATGGCCACCCGTCAGGGATGCTTTAGCCGCACGGGGTGGGTCTAGATGACCCTCAGGGTCCCTTTCGATTCTGCAGTTTTATGATTCTATAATACCCCAGCCCAAGAATGTGTTCAGCAGCCTCAGCTTCTGCAGCTGCAGTCCCAATTTGTCTATATAGAAGCTTTATTCTCTATAATGATGAAACTCACAGGTAGAGAACACTTTTTAAATTATTATTATTATTATTATTATTATTATTATTATTATTAATACCCTGCCCATCCAACTGGGTTGCCCCAGCCACTCTGGACAGCTTCCAACAAATATAAAAGCATAATACATATTTTCTTATTTGTTTATATATAATATAATATATATTTATTATATGGAAATGGAATCTTTGGAAGAGTCCATGCTTTTTTAAAAAAAAAAGCTTTTATTTATACTTTTCAAATTTATACATTTCATTAATTTTACAATCATTTTAACATTACAGTGTTTGACTTCCTTCCCCCTCTTTCTGCAGTTCCTTAAATTTATTTTTTTAATATCTTCTGCATATCCAAATTCACTTAATTTGCTCGTTTAATTACCTACTTTGAATTAAATGATCTACTCTTATGAAACTGCAGGTTATTACAATAATCCTCCCAATGTTTCTTTCTGTTTGCAATTTATCTGTAAATCACACACACACACACACACACACACACACACACACACACACACACATATTCTTATCCCTTTGGAGCTATGCTGTATCTCTGTAATTCTTTTTCCAGGCTGTGGCGTTTTACAGTTTATATGCCTGGTTCTTATTTTATTTCTCTTTGCTATGTTGCACTATTTATTATTATCGTTATCATTATTATTAGTTAACAAATCATATATCCCCTAAAACATCTGAGCCACACCAGGAAGCATCTCCCATCCTTCCCAGGCGAACAGAACACGAATAACAAGTGATTATACCGTTGCCCGAGGAGGGTGCAATGGGGGGGGCGGAGGAGGGGGTGTGCTCTGGAGAGAGGGGGCGTGGTCACGAGGAATCCCGAGGGCCAGGTGGAGAGGTTTGGTGGGCCACATTGGGCCTGAGATCCCCCTGTCCTGGCTCAGGCCCTGGGAAATCCATTCCAAGGAAGAGGGAGGGCAGTAAAAGTGTCTCCCTCACCTTCTACCATCAGGCGCAGGGAGCAAAGGAGTCGGCGGCTGTCGGTGTAGCAAGCGTAGCGGCCGGAGTCACTGAAATACACCGACGGCAGGAAGAGGCTGGGTCCGGGGATCACCTGCCTGCCGGTGGATGCGCTCAGGTTCCTTCCATTGAACATCCAGTGCACCTGAGTGATGTTCTCTAGCTCCCCCTCCAGGCAGGGCAGGGTGACGTTCATCCCTGGCTGAACCAGAATCGTATTGGGAGACACAGCTGGGGGTGGAAATAATGAGGAAAGAAGAGGGAAAAATATTCGTAAGGTTATTTCCCCAGAGTTGTTTATCCTCTCTTCCCTGAGCTGAACCAAATAGAGTAAGACCTCGGGTTACATACGCTTCAGGTTGCGTGTTTTCGGGTTACGGGCCGCCGAAACCTAGAAGTACTGGAACGGGTTACTTCCGGGTTTCGGCAGCCGCGCATGCGCAGAAGCACTAAATCGCACTTTGCGCATGTGCAGAAGTGCCGAATCGCAAGCCGCGCGTGCGCAGGCGCACTGCTGTGGGTTGCGAACGCTGCGGGTTGCGAACGTGCATCCCACACGAATCACGTTCTCAACCCAAGCGTCCACTGTATACAGAAATCATAGAATCGTAGGGCTAGAAGGGACCCTGAGGATGGTCTAGTTCATGAATATGCAGCTGTCACACACAGGGATGGAGAACCGGGCGCAAGCTAGCAAAATGAATTTCAATAGGGACAAATGTTCAGATTCCGCTCTTCAGCAGGAAGGACCATGTGCACAAATATAGGATGGGGGAAGACCTGGCTTACTAGCCATAAATGTGAACAGGATCTTGGGTTCTTGGTGGGCCACAAGCTTAGCATGAGTCAATAGCAGCCCCCCCCCAAAGGCTAATGCTATTCTAGGCTGCATCAACAGAAGTCAAGTGTCCAGATCAAGGGAAGTCATGTTGTTGTTTAGTCGTTTAGTTGTGTCCGACTCTTCGTGACCCCCTGGACCAGAGCACGCCAGGCACTCCTGTCTTCCACTGCCTCCCGCAGTTTGGTCAGACTCATGTTTGTAGCTTGGAGAACACTGTCCAACCATCTCATCCTCTGTCGTCCCCTTCTCCTTGTGCCCTCCATCTTTCCCAACATCAGGGTCTTTTCCAGGGAGTCTTCTCTTCTCATGAGGTGGCCAAAGTATTGGAGCCTCAGCTTCAGGATCTGTCCTTCCAGTGAGCACTCAGGGGTGATTTCCATCAGAATGGAGAGGTTTGATCTTCTTGCAGTCCATGGGACTCATAGTACCACTCTATTCTGCCTTGGTCAGACCACACCTGGAGTCCTGTGTCCAATTCTGGGCACCACAATTTAAGATGGATGTTGACAAGCTGGAAGGTGCACAGAGGAGGGCAACCAAGATGATCAAGGGTCTGGGAACTAAGCCTTATGAGGAGCGCTTGAAGGAGCTGGGTATGTTTAGCCTGGAAAAGAGGAGACTGAGAGGAGATAGGATAGCCATCTTCAAATATCTCAAGGGCTGTCCCATGGAGGAGGGAGCATGCTTGTTTTCTCCTGCTCTGGAGGGTAGGACTCGAACCCTTGGCTTCAAGTTTCAAGAAAGGAGATTCCGACTAAACACTTGGAAAAACTTTCTGACAACAAGAGCTTTTCGGCAGTGGAACAGGTTCCCACAAGAGGTGGTGGACTCTCCTTCCTTGTCATAATAATAATATAATCATTTATTATTTATATCCCACCCATCTGGCTGAGTTTCCCCAGCCACTCTGGGCAGCTCCCAATCAAATGTACAGCATTAAATATTAAAAACTTCCCTGAACAGGGCTGCCTTCAGATGGCTTTTAAAGATAGGATAGCTGCTTATTTCCTTCACATCTGAAGGGAGGGTGTTCCACAGGGTGGGCGCCACTACCAAGTAGGCCCTCTGTCTGGTTCCCTGTAACCTCACTTCTCACAGAGAGGGAACCGCCAGAAGGCCCTCGGCGCTGGACCTCCGTGTCCAGGCTGAACGATGGGGGTGGAGACGCTCCTTCAGGTATACAGGACCGAGGCCGTTTAGGGCTTGAAAGGTCAGCACCAACACTTCGAATTGTGCTCGGAAACGTACTGGGAGCCAATGCAGATCTCTCAGGACCAGTGTTATGTGGTCCCGGAGGCCAGTCCCAGTCACCAGTTTAGCTGCCGCATTCTGGATTAATTGCAGTTTCCAGGTCACCTTCAAAGGTAGCCCCACGTAGAGCGCATTGAAGTAGTCATGGGCGCTTTAGCTGAGATTCCTGCATTGCGATTCCTGCAACCCTAAGACTCTATGATTCTATGAACCTGCAACCTTGGTGTTATCAGAACCACACTGTAACCAACTGAGCTATCCAGGCTGACTTCAACATATTAAGATAGATAGATAGATAGATGGATGGATGGATGGATAGATAGATAGATTAGAAATTAAATAAACGATGTGGGAGGGCGGGAACAAAACGATCAAGCGGCCCTGGAGCAACTCCCACATGTAGGAAATTCCCTGGTGGAGAATCTTTTTCAGTCCCCTCTGAGCCAGCATCCGAGGGCCGCATGCCAGCACTTCTGGGGGCCGGAGGGGAAAGTTTGTGGAGCAGCAAATGTACATTTCCCCCTTTGTACAGTAGATTAGTTTCAACACCCTCCCTCGCAGGTCCCCTTCTGTCTGTCCTCCATCTGAGCAAGGCAGAGGCACGGTCAGAGTTCAAGGATGCCATCCCAGTCAGGAAGGAAATGTTCAGCAGGCAAAGCGAGGCCAGGCTTAGGGAGAGGGGCTGTGGCTTGGGGACAGTGTCAAGGGCTAGAGGGAAAAGTCTGGGGGTCCACAACTCCATTCCTGGGTTGCGGGGCTTGGAGGCTTCTAAGCTTGGAGGACAGGGTCGAAATCTTAGGAAAGATACAGGGAGAGAGATAAAATTTAAGAATACAATATATATAAAATACGATATATTAGATATTTAGTATGATGGAGGATTTGCATTATGGCAAGTAGTTATGGTTAGTAGAGTAAGAGATTAAGGATGTCACATGTGTACAAATGTACAGCGGAACTTCGGTTTTCGAGCGTCTCAAAAGCCAAATGTTTTGGTTTTTGGACGTCGAAAACCTAGATGTAATCGCTTCCGTTTTCAAACATGCCTCAGAAGTCGAATGGCTTCCGAGGTGCGTTTCAATTTTTCTCAATTGAATTTTCCAGCTGCCCGTGGCGCCTCGGTTGTTGAATTTTTCAGAAGTCGAACCATCTTCCAGAACGGATTATGTTCGACAACCGAGGCTCCACTGTATTATTATTATTATTATTATTATTTAACCTGCCTTTCCCCATAAGGTCAAGGGCAAGTCCCAACCATTAAAAATACAACATTAAAAACATTATATATCAATTTGGATCTACATTATTTGAGCTTTACGGAGTACATGCTGCATTTTGTAGAAATAAGTTTCAAAAAAGTAAAGTAGAGGTGTATCAAATTCTGTGTGGTGTAGTGGACAGAGAGAGACCATTTCCCCCTAATAGTGGAACCAAGAAGGGTCATTCAGCGAAGCTGAAGGTTGGGACAGTCAGGGCAGGCAGAAGGAATGACTGTTCACAGCGCATGGCTGAACTATGGAACTCTCTGCCACAAGAGCCACTGATGGAGAGTTGCCAGTGTGCTCAGGTCCTGTTCCCTGTTGAGGCATCCAGCTGGCCGCTGTGAGAGAAAGATGCTGGACTGATTGGGCCTTTATTAAGTCCAACCCATCAGGGCTCTGAACCTCAGCTCCTTGGAATCACGAGTGGGGAAATAATAATAATAATATAATAATAATAATTTATTATTTATACCCCGCCCATCTGGCTGAGTTTCCCCAGCCACTCTGGGCGGCTCCCAATCAAGTGTTAAAAACAGTACAGCATTAAAAGTGCTATAGGCCAGGATATTAATAGGCAAGATATTAATAGGCAATAGGATATTAATATTAATAGGCAATATGTTAAATTGTTCTTATATGCAACAACAGTGGCAAGAATATTGTTAGCCCAGAAATGGAAGCAAGAAGAAATTCCGACGAAAGAAGAATGGCAGACGAAATTAATGGACTATGCAGAATTGGACAAAACGACAGGAAGGATTCGAAACTTGCTGGACCAGAGATTTACAGAAGATTGGAAGAAGTATATGAATTACTTGAAGAGCAACTGTAATCAACAAATTACGCTAGTAGGACTACAAGAAGTTTGGTAAGGAGGAATATACGAAGTGTTACAAAGTAGAAAAAGATAGAGATAATTGGTTATGAGTTTGAAATGTTACAGGGAAACTAAGAAATGCATACTAAGAGATTAGATTGGAAAATTTTCAGACAGGACTGATGGAAGTCAAAAAATTGAATAAGATGTAAAAGTATGTTTAATTACTGTTGAAAATGGTATGTTAAAAAACTAATAAAAAAAGTATATTAGAAAAAAAACGAGTGGGGAAAGTCCTGTTGCGCTCGTTTCCTGTTTACATCTGTAGACATCAGGTTGGCCACCGTGAGAACAGGACAGGGGCCTCGGATGGGCTGCTGGCCTGATCCTGCAAGCTCTTCTTCCTATTTCTAAGCTGGAGAAAGGGGCAAGGCTAGCTGCCAGCTGGCGTCCTAAAGCAGAAGGTCTCCCAGGAGGATATGCTGCAACATTTTGTTGCAAACCCCACTTTCCCACACAGTTACATAAACAAGCCAGGCAGATTAATTCATTCTGGCTGGTTGGTAACCTGTTTGTGTGTCGGGGGGGGGGAAGGGGGGCACAGTCACCTCTGCACTGCTTTGCCCACCCAGTAAATATTGACAAAAGCTACCTTCACCTTTCCAGGAGTGGTATCCTAGCAACAGGAAAGGACACGCTGTGCGGGGGGAAAGCACCCCCCCCCACGTTGCTCTATGGAGCCCCTCCAGTGGCGAAATCCACCACTTAGCATGAGTGGTACCCAGGTTACATCAGAGGCCCTTATCCACAGCATACAGTCCAAGCATATTTCACACACATAGCTTCCCAAAGGGATTTTGGGAAATGTAGTTAACTCTGCATGTACTCCGTATAGCTAAAGCTATGGTTTTCCCAGTAGTGATGTAGGGAAGTGAGAGCTGGACCATAAAGAAGGCTGACTGCCGAAGAATTGATGCTTTTGAGTTATGGTGCTGGAGGAGACTCTTGAGAGTCCCATGGACTGCAAGAAGATCAAAGCTCTCCATTCTGAAGGAAATCA